TTACAATTTCTTTACATTGCAACGACATTCTTTAAAAGTGTCATAATGCTATTGAAATCCTGAATACATACATATATATACAGACTATAGTTGCAAAAACTTTCATCTTGATAATAGTTGCCGCTCAAGTATTTAGTTTACGCCAATGATGTTTAATGATCAGAAAATTTATTGTAAATAAGGTTTTCGAAAATATTTAATTACTAACACATGTCTGATATCCTTGTTTTATCAAACAATAAAAATTCTCATTTTCATGAACTGCATAAAACTTGATTCACTAACTAAGGTTTGCGAGAGAACCTCGAAATTTCAATGAAGGCATTTTTAATCAAATTTGACTTGCAAACCTTTCCATATAAACCAAGATCCTGATTTAGAAATATTTCTCAGAGATCAAATCTTATTATCTGAATAAAAAGGTTAATACTGTCTAATTGTTTTACTTTCCGGTTAACAAAAGGATCATAATCGCGCAGTTTATTGGTCTACCTTTTCTACTTTTACAATGACTTGAAGATCTTAAGCTTTATTTTTATTACTAAAAAAAATAATAAAAATCCTACCTAATTAAGTTGACAATTAATTATGGCTAAATGTTAACCCATACCGATAAAAGTGTTTAGAATTATCGGATGGATTGAATCGATCAATTATACAACTAAAAATATTCAGCTATATAATCAATTAATTAGCATAACTATGTTTGTATAATTATGGCCCCATCAAGCAAAGCCTGAAGGAAAATCCCTCGGGCGCCATTTAAATCTCTATTAATTTGAAGTCCACATTTACTGCACCTAAACTCTTTATTTCCTCTATAGGAAATATTTCAAAAACTACTTAATTGTGAAGAACCCAATATCCAATCTCAGGCTGAATATTTAACTGCTGAATACTACCTACACGGTTATATAAAAAAAGATGAAAAAAAAGCTTTTGAATTTGCAAAAAAAACTCGCCAATAAAAAAGAATATGAAAAAGCATTAAATATTTCTAATCAAATTTCTAAAAGAGAAGGTCCTAAGTTCAAGGATAAAGCCTCAGATATGGTAATAAATATAAAGAGAATCGCTATTTGATTATTTGATCAATCAATTACTGTAACAAAAAAATAATCACACACCGTATAGTTTCGGGACTCTATATTTGGTATTGGTCAGATCGACGAAAACAAAATAAATTTCCATTTTGATCAAAAAATGTTTTTTTTCGTTGGTCACTATATTCTATAATTAAAAATTATAGTGATGTGTTGTTAAAATCTTGAATATTCTAACTTAAAGGAAAAAACAGTTTTTATTTACATATGAATTTAAAAATTTACCAATAACTAATGCTACTATTTACAATTTTATAGTGTAATTAATATTTTTTCTTTCTGCTTTTCCCTGATTTATTGAAGAAATCTCTGATTGATATAAATAATTGTAATAATATTA